CAGGGTAGCAGAGTAGAACTGGGTGGGCTTTGAAGTGCCATCCAACTCAAACCATTCTGTGATTTTATGATCTTTTGGGGAATGAGAAATTGTATTTGATGTCCCCTGCAGCTTGTCTTATCTGGAGGGACCTCATGTCTTCACAGTTGGGTCTGGATGGATGTGTGCATGTATTGACTATCCTCTGAGGCAGAGGCAGGCACGGAAATGTCGGCAACAGTATAGAGAAATAATATCTGTATTATTTTAAGCTTCCCATGGGTTTGGAGAATGGAGGTTTACATCAGAAGTTGAAGGGATCAACTGCAGTTTTCTCATTAAAAAAAAGCGTACACTATTTCAGTCTCTCAAATGAAAGAAACTATTAACAGCAGTTAGTGCTGGTTCTACCTCTTTTTGTCAATCACTTGCCGCCTGAAGGTCAAAACTCCCATTTTTAGATAGCGACAGTGGTCCTAAGCGCCCCTTCCCCTGTCCTTTGAGTCCACTCACTCTTCCGTCTGCCCATCCTGGTCCAGCAGCTGACATGCGGGAGGGAAGGGAGCTGCAGCAGGGAGTTGCACCAGAGCTGTGTGCACTAAACTGCGCGTGTAACGTGGCTGGAACTGCAGGCAGCCGTGCTGGGATGCAGCAATGCAGCATTCTTGTTGTGAAGCAGAGCTGGGAAAGCAACTGTGCCTGCAGCCTGCAGCTCTGGCCAGTGGCTATGTAATCCCATCTGTCAGGGAACACAGAGGCTACTTTACTGTGCAAAGTTGGGGAGTAAAGGCACTGCTTCCCCTCACTGCCATTACACTGCTGAACTGGCCTCAGTATTTTGTATTATGCTGAGTTTCCAGGAGGCTGATGATAGACTGCGTCCCCTCCCCTAACCCTGCACCAATACCTTTTACCTTGCAAATCCTTCCAGGCAGAGATATCCCATCGCCTTTCCTCCCTACACTCTGCCTGCACCCCATTTCTCCTTTCCTACCTTGCTTTTGTGCTGGGCTGCAGAGATGACCCCCTGATGTGGATGGCAAAGAGGCTGCTTTATTTGTACAGCCTGTCTTACTGGGGGAGGCAGTTGGTGTTGGGATAATCAGACCGCTTGTCGCATTGGAGTATAACAAGCATTGACAGGGCACAGGGGAGTGCCTGTGTGTGTTTGTGCACGTGTGATGCAGGGCGAGCTGAGGATGGAGCTAGTATTCTGACCAGATTTTCCCACCCGTTCTATAGCTGCAGGAGGAACTGATTCCCAGCAGGACACTGGAGGCAGAAGTCAGAGCGGTTCGTGCTGATTTTAAACACATCCCTTTCAGAGCTGTCTTTAGGGCAGACTAAAATTCAGCTGACACCCTCTCTTCCTCTCCCCACAGCCCCTCAGCCTGCTGCACTTGCTTCTCCAGGCTTTCCCCACCACTAGCTGAAACTATTTAAAATGTCATCATCTCTCTGCTGGTCCTAAATTTGCCATCTGATGTGGTTTTAATGCTCTATTTCCTATTCCAACCAGCCTTGGAAACACTCACCATTAGCTTGCAGGGCTGGCAGCTTCATCTCTAGGATGAGTGATGTTACCCAGTGGTCAGGGAGCCATGTCTCCTGGACCTGACTTGCTCTGTGCCCAAGAATGTGTTCCATTCTGCTTTGTTCCTGCCTGCGTGCCCTGTGGTGCAGGTGAAGAATGACTGTTTTCTCCGTGTCATCTGCATCTTGCACCCACATGGCATCGTTTGGGCGTTGCAACCGCTGTATCTGTGCTGGGCCACAGACTCTCCCATGCCTACGACAAGCAGCTCCAGAAACACCCACGTAAGCAAAAATCTTTGCTGAAAGGTGATTCTAGCAAATGAAATTAATTAAAATGATCTTGCTCTCTTTCTCTCTCCATATTGGAGTCACATACACCAGGGAAATCATGTATCAAGCCCTCACTGCATCTTTCAGGCACAGCTTCATCTTGTGTTACCTCACCCACGTACAGCTTGCTGCCCTCATGCTGCCCCTGTTGCACATATGCAGGGAGCCTCTCAGCCCCTTGGTTGCTCATCTGGGGACTGATTTTCCTCTGGCCAGAGTGGGCAGTGATAATGCTGGTATACTGGTGGCAGAGGCCTACCCCTGTGTGGTGGGACCTGTGAGCCACTGGAATGTGGGAAAAGCTGCAGAGGGAGCTGCTTCTTTTTTTTTTTTTTTTTTTTTTTTTTTTTTTTTTTTTT